CATGTAAATTTTCGTTCAGTTCAGCCTCTCAGTAATACAGTAACTGCACTTGGGATAAAACAATTTGGCTTTCAGCTTGAACGGGGTCAAACCCGTTTACTCGGTATGGAAAATAGCATGTACTCAACAGTTTGCCGAGCAGGTGAGTACAAGCTGGTCCATCACAGTTATCAAAAGTGAGGGGACCCACATGTGAAAGATGCAGAATCCACTCAATTAATCCCCAAAGAAACTACTCTTACACTTAAAATCAAACAGGAATCCTAATAATACACACAAACCAACAAATATTTCAAGCAAGAATTGAATATTTGCAGTTTTGCACAAACCCATAAAGTAAAAAATGAAGGGGTGATAAAAAGTCACCATCACTTTCAAGGCAAATACGGCATTGAATTTGGTCAACGTTACCAGCTTCAAGATCAACCTTGCTGGGTTTAGCAATCAAAGGAGGGACTAAAGAAGAAGATGAATCCAAATAATGAGCCATTTCTTTAGACTTTTTGCTTTTCCCCTCCAATTATCAACAGAAATAGATAAATAAACTGTATTTTGATAAATTGAGTTCTTCATCATCAAGAATCAAGAAACTATAACAGAACAGAGAAAAAGAAAAGTCCTCCCAAAGACTTTAAAATAACGTTGAATAAACTATAACCAAGTAGACAAAATACTCTTCCAATAAAGTCAATTGCAAGGTATTTAAGCAGATTGACTATTTCTATATTATTTAAATCGTTTATTTCATTAATAACATACAGCCCACCCAGAATTCCAAATTTATAGGTTCAGAATTCTAATATTTTTAATCTATTAGGTTCTTGTATACGGTGGAAATCAGGTATGCCCGATTTTCCGAGTTCGAGGGGTCACCTTAAGTCCGAATTCAGGATAGATCGAGTTCAAGCTCGATGGACCAGGTTCGAGCTCGATGACAGAGTACAAGGCTCGAAAAATTAAGTGTTCGAGGAATGTCGAAGCCTAATATGACTGGCCTCGAGATAATGCCGTTATGGATTTGTAACAGAATGAGCAAGATTTTTGCCACGTCCCCAAGATCATGGCGTAAATCCCGAAATAGATTTGTACGAATCCGTACTAGGCGGTTAGACAGCTGTCCCAATAAGATTCTTTAGTGTAAATAGAAAGGTACCTTATTTAGGGTTCCCCATTATATAAAGGGGACACAATCATTTGTAAACATGATCTAATCATTGGCAAAGAATATACTCTCTTACTTTTTCGCTCATTATTCATCAAAATTGTCCTTCAGCTTTATTATTCTTGTTTTATTGTTCTTGATCCATCTCGAGGTCATCTTGGCTCGAGGTCGAGACTGGTCTACATTCTGGTTTGATTTTACTTGTTCCTTTCATTTATACTCCAGATTTCTTGGTTATTAATTAGTATTGAACTAAATCACGTATCTTTAAAATCATAAATCAAATTTAACTGTTACTCGTATTTTCGAGGTAAATAGTTTGGCGCCCACCGTGGGGCTAAAGATAATAGTGATTATTTTATTACTGATTCTCATAACACAAGTTATTTTTACACTTTTTCTTGTCAAGAATTTTTGATTCTCAGGCTAAAACATGTCAAACTCGGAAAACGTACCTGTACACGACAATGATGGTCTACGATTTCATGGGGAAAACAACAATATAGGGGTCGGTGTACCACCAATAAACCCTGGGGAAGTGCCAAATATGAAACCAGTTGATGTTAGTTCACACATCGCTCTGAACGCGGATTTAGGCACAGACCCTGGAGGGAGTGTACGCAGGGAAGCCCGATCAGGTGGTCAAGGAACGCAGGGTATAGGAGATGGGGGAGTCAGCCTCTAAGTAATATTCGAGATGCTACAAGCTCAACAAGTTGTATCGCTCAGCTTCAAAGACAACACAAAACTCCAAGTATAGTCGAACCAGACAACGCTTGACGTACTGAGCCGATACCGGAAAGATCAAGCGGTAATGGCTCGGGGACTGATCCCACGATTATGAGGATGCTCGAAGAACTCACTAAGAGAATCGAGTCCGGGGAAAAGAAGATTGAGGATAATGACAAAAAAGTGGAAACTTATAATTCCCGTGTTGATCAATACCGGGGGCACCCCCGGTCTTGAAAGGTTTGGATGCCAAAAAGTTCATACAAAAGTCGTTCACTCTGAGTGCGGCCCCGAAGCCTATTCCTAAAAAATTTCGCATGCCCGATATACCTAAATACAATGGAATAATCGATTCTAGCGAACATATTACCTCATATACTTGGGGATTAAAGGAAATGACTTGAATGATGATGAGATCGAATCAGTATTGTTGAAAAAATTTGGGGAAACTTTATCTAAAGGAGCCATGATTTGGTATCACAACTTGCCCTCGAGCTCTATCGATTTGTTTGCTATGTTAGCATACGCCTTCGTGAAAGTACATGTCGGGGACATAAAGGTGGCGACGAGGAAATCGGACATTTTAAGATAAGGCAGAGGAACGATGAGATGTTAAAGGAGTTCGTATCCTGGTTTCAGATGGAGCGAATGGAATTACCACCGGTCTCGGATGATTGGGCAGTACAAGCTTTTATACAGGGTTTGAATTAGCGGAGTTCAATCGCGTCTCGACTATTAAAGTAGAATCTAATAGAGTATCCAACTGTGACGTGGTCAGACGTACATAATCGTTATCAATCGAAGATCAGGGTCGAGGACGACCAGTTGGGAGCCCCCTCGGGTTCAGTTCATCCTAATAAATTGGCAGCCAAACCCCCGAGGGATACAGACAGGGAATCAAGATCAAACAAGGAACGGTACCAGCCGTATGTCGATCGTAGAAACAACGGCTCGGGGTGTAACGCTCCTCGAAATGATCGAAGAAATGATCGAGGTCAAAGCTCTCGGGGACTCATGAGTAAGAATGGGTTCAATAAACATACCGACCTCGCGGAAGCACCTCGATTGTCGGAGTATAATTTCAGTGTAGATACATCGGCGATCGTGTCAGCTATTGGAAGAATCAAAGACACCAGGTGGCCCATGCCTATTCAAACCGATCCTTCTCAAAGAAATCCAAACTTGATGTGTAAGTATCATTGCACACATGGCCATAGAACCGAAGATTGCAGGCAGCTGAGGGAGGAAGTAGCTTGGTTGTTCAACAAGAGTCATCTTCGTGAATTTCTCAGTGATCGAGCTAAGAACCACTTCAGGGAAAGAGATGCAAACAGAAAAAATGAGCAGGAAGAACCGCAGCATGTAATCCATATGATCGTTGGCGGTGTCGATGTTCCACAAGGGCCTGTGTTCAAATGCACCAAGGTGTCGATCACCAGAGAAAGAAGGACTCAGAGCTATGTGCCCCAGGGCGTCCTATCATTCAATGACAAAGAAGCGGAGGGCATATCTAAGCCGCACAATGACGCACTGGTATTTTCTATTCTGTTAAATAAAATTCAAATTAAACATGTTCTAGTGGATCTAGGTAGCTCAGCAAACAATCAGATCGAGGGTCGTAGAACAGTTCGGCCTACAGGATCAAATTGTACCTGCATCCCGAGTCCTAAATGGCTTCAACATGGCGAGCGAAACAACGAAGGGGGAGATAATCCTACCAGTGAACATGGCCGGAACCATCCAAGATACGAAATTCCATGTCATCGAAGGCGACATGAGGTATAACGCACTTCTCGGGAGGCCATAGATCCACAACATGAGGGTTGTACCCTCGACCCTTCATCAGATGATGAAATTCCCAATAGTGGATGGCGTGAAAACGGTCTACGGAGAACAACACGCTGCAAAGGAATTTTCTGCAGTCAATGAGGTGACACCAATTCCAGTGCCTTCGACCTCGGAAAAATCGGGGGCCAAAGATAAACAAGCGGCCAAATAGCAATCACCGATTCCAGTCCCGATCAAGCCGTAGGAACAGGTAATCAAAGAAGAAGAAGAGGATTTCTTTACTCCACGAACTTTCGTTGTTCCAGAAGAGTCGGACGCAACCAAGTCAACGGTCGAGGAACTGGAATAGGTCATATTGATCGAGTACATGCCCGAGAAAAAGGTATAACTGGGAACGGGATTAACCCCCGAACTCAGGAAAAAACTCATTTAGTTTCTTATCGATAATATGGATTGTTTTTCTTGGTCTCATTTAGACATGACAGGGATCTTGCGAGAAATAACAACGCACCGGCTAAGCATCGACCCCAGGTTCAAACAGTAAAGCAAAAAAGGAGGCCTCAGTCCGAGGTGAAGCATGCATTCATAAAGGATGAGGTAACCAAACTTCTTAAAATAGGGTCTATTCGGGAGGTAAAATGTCCCGAGTGGTTAGCCAACGTAGTTGTAGTTCCTAAAAAGGGAAAAAAACTTAGAATGTGCGTAGATTATAAGGACTTAAACAAAGCATGCCCTAAAGACTCTTTTCCACTGCCTAACATCGACGGCATGATCGATGCCACGGCCGGCCACGAGATACTTACCTTTCTCGATGCCTATTCCGGGTACAATCAGATTCAGATGAACCCGGGGGACCAGGAGAAGACCTCGTTTATCACTAAGTTTGGAACTTATTGTTACAACGCAATTCCCTTCGGTATAAAAAATGCAGGAGCTACATACCAACGCCTAGTTAACAAAATGATCGAGGAACAGATAGGTAAATCAATGGAAGTTTACATTGACGACATGTTGGTTAAGTCCCTGCGCGCAGAGGACCATTTAACTCATTTGCAGGAAACAGTCAAAACCTTGAGGAAGTACAACATGAAGCTTAACTCGAAAAATGTGCCTTCAGAGTCGGCTCGGGCAAGCTCCTCGGCTTCATGGTGTCTAATCGGGGAATTAAGATCAACCCCGATAACATCAAGGCCATCGAAGATATCACAATCGTGGATAGTGTAAAACCGTGAAAAGGCTAACAGGACGAATAGCCTCCTTGGGTCGATTCATTTCGAGGTCATCACATCGAAGTCATAGGTTCTTTTCCTTGCTCAAAAAGAAAAAGGGTTTCGGATGGACCCGAAATGCCAACAAGCCTTAGAAGAATTGAAGCGATACTTATCGAGCCCACCTCTGCTTCATATCCCGAAGGTAGATAAAAAGCTTTACTTATATTTGGCAGTATCCGAGATAGCGGTAAGTGGGGTACTAGTTCGAGAAGAGCAAGGTACGCAATTCCTTGTTTATTATGTAAGTCGAACTCTAGGAGATGCTGAAACTAGATACCCTCACTTAGAAAAATTAGCACTTGCATTAATAAGCGCATCTAGAAAGTTAAAGCCATATTTCCAGTGTTACCCAATATGTGTGTTAACCACTTATCCTCTCCTAAATGTTTTTCATAAGCCCGAACTATCAGACCAATTGGCCAAATGGGCAGTCGAACTCGGCGGGTACGACATCGAATATCAACCCCGAACGGCCATCAAGTCTCAAATCTTGGCTGACTTCATGGCCGATTTTACGCCGACCCTCATACCCGAAGTGGAGAAAGAACTTCTGCTAAAATCGGGTACATCGTCGGGGGGTATGGACCCTTTTCACGGACGGTGCCTCGAATGTGAAAGGGTCCGGGCTCGGCATTGTTTTGAAGCCACCAACAGGTAGTACTATTAGACAATCTATCAAAACAACTAGGTTGACTAATAATGAGGCCGAGTATGATGCC